CCAAGCCATAAGAACGAAATAGTAATTAACATTATTATGAGACTCTCACAAGTCTAAAATATGGAGTTGGCATTAAAAATACGAACATTGATTAGATATTTCGTTACCTAAAATTGAGAATTAAGGTGATTTTCACAAATAAACTTTATAAAGCGTCTTCTTATAATATATTAAGGAATGTTGACCAAAAATTGAGATTTGGACTTTGGAATATTAATGTTTGACTTAAGAATACTTGGAGTTGTACTTTGGAGTTGTACTAAGGCCACATCGTCCCTTTAAGTGGGTGATGTAAAGTTTAATCCCATTCCAACTATAAGTCATCTTTAAGTTAAAAGTAACAAATAATCAATATAAATAATAACACATTATACCAAGTAACATCCACCTATGATTAAATACATATTATTTGATCAAAATCATGTTATAATGATTAATATTTTAAGATGTGCATCATACTTTATAGAAGCTAAATTTGAATCAGGAAGTGTAATAATTAACACAAGAGAAGTAACCAAATTAATGAAAAGATAAATATTGCAGTCAGTACAGTAGGCTCCTAAGTTCATGCTCCTTTGTAATGTCCTCTATAGGTAAAGCTTAACATCTCCAAGTAGCGCATAGTCGAGAGGTGTTCAATCAACTGCAATATTGAATGTGTAATAAGGTAAAGTTTTACAAAGTAGATTATTATAACAGGAATAGTAAAAGCAACAAAAATACATTGCCATTTTTAGTGATGTGCAGAAAATCCAAAAAACGAAATACTTTAAAACATAATAATATTTTATTTACACATATATAATTCCACATTATCCATCATTTTGACCCTGGTTCCCTAATTATTTCACTGTACATAAATTAATGGTAGGGGAAAAACGAAAGCCAGAGATAAAATCATTTAGGAAGATATCAGCTCATATGCATATGGATTCAAGGAGATAAATATACACTTGTTTTCTTATTAGGGACACTAAGATGTCAAGCGTTAAAGAAGATAGAACATTTATAGTTGCACCTGGTATCAAAAAGTAAGAGACCACATACCATGATAATTACATGATTTTATAAGTTTTCATCTCATAACCACTTGGTACCATAAATAGTTTGGAAATTAAACCTTGAGACGATCAGTGCCATAAACGCACTTATAATCCTGAGTTCCATGAGTCTCTTGATGAGCTTTCCAATCAACATGTTTATTTATCCCGGATAACATGAATAGTAACATAATTCAAGGAAACATAGATCCTAAACCATTTTGTCACCCAATATGTTGTCTTGCTCCTTGTATAAACTGTACATAGAGAAGCAGGGGCGGAGACCTGCAAGCATAAGAGAGAGTGAGAGATTAGGATTTTCATTTTTCACCTAATATTTTGAAACTCACTTATGTTCATTCATAATAAAGAGAAAAAAATGTTATAAGCACCATCTCCAATCATTATCAATAAAATCAGTAATCAAAACTTAAATAGAGACAAGAGAATCCACAAAGTAAATAAACATAAAGGCTCTTAAATTTCCCGTTTAAATTACCAAACCTCTCAATTTTCATTATCGTTTAAAATCTGAACATATATTTAAAATGAGATTAAACAGTTATCATAAATAGCAAGAAGGAGCTGATCTTTATTTTGAAGAGCCAATGTTACGCCATTTTTTTATCAATGGGAAGAGAAACTGAATAGTTTCTTACCCTTTTTCCCCACATGGATGCCAAAACAGATGTAGGTTTACCCAAAAATAGGACTGGGTCTTCAAGCTGATACAGAAGGCAGATTGTAGAATCCTAACAAAACTCAAAACCAGCATCAAATAGAAACTATCAGTTCATCTCCTTAGCAGTCAAATCAAAAACACTAAAAATGTAATTTTAATGAAAACATAATAAGTTATGAACAGTCTGTACAGAAACCAATAACTAACCCTTATGAGTCTTTACAGAAACAAATAACTAAATGTAATAAGTTATGAATAGTCTTTACAGAAACCAATTGGTATAAGTTCATTACAACCATTTTATCAAGCTTACACGTGTACTGATAGTTACTTCTTTTGTACTAACATTCCAACATGAGAAACTAAGAGTACCTGATGTGATTCTTAATAAAAAAATAATCGAAAAAATAAGAAAGATGGCAAGTAGAGGTTCAAAATTGTAAAATCAAGGCAGAGTGAGCAATCACCTTTCTAGTTTCTCCACCATGATATGGATTAACCTGTTGTAAAAAACCAGCACCATATGCAAATTCAAAATAGTGCTCATTGACCTGACATGCATATAAAGGTATAAAACAATCAAATTTATGAATCAGAAACTCCCCACAATTGGCTAAAAGTTGGATTTCAAGTCATTTTCTCTAACGTCCTTTAACTCCTTTCTTTTAAACCTCGATCAACATCTCATTTTCTGTTATTTTTTTCTTGTTTTAAACCTACAAATGACAAAGCTGTTTCTAACAGCTATCAAAAGATCAGAATTTAGATCCAAATGTTATTAGATCATGCTTACAATTTGTCAATCATTTTTTAGTGATCAAGTTCAAGATACTACCATTTCTCTTGAATCTACGTGTAAAAAGAAGGCGAAAATTGAGCTCACCAGGTCCATAAATCTTTCAAAACATAAAGGATTCTTGTCGATGCATTTTATACCACCGACGACCCCAAAGGAATCCTACTCTCCAGCCCTTCAACCAATGAATTCAGATCCAGGTATCAGCACCGCTGGTATTTTCATACTTTGAACCACCATCAAGATTTCCATCAAAATCAGATAAAGCGAGATAGATAGAGAAGGTAGAGAGAGTGAGTGAGTGTGAGAGAGAGACCTCTATAGCGAAGGGTAGATTTAGGGTTTCCTACGAATCTTCAAGCAGTTAATGGTGTTCAGATCTGTCAAATCATATGCATAAACATACAAGAAAACTCCCAAAGCAAAACCCAAAAAAAAAAACTCACATCAAGCTTATGGGAGATGGTAAGATGGTTTAGGGTTCTTAACATTTAAAACACAATTAACAGAATTATAACCTATTAAAGATCTAAAACACCAAGAGACAAAAGCAACGATGGTTCGTTCAAGGTTCTTTGGGATGTACGTTCCAGATTTTCTGAATGTAAATCAAACGAAGTCATAAAACCAACCTTTCTCTTGTTTACTACTCGGTACACTATCTTCAAGATTGTTTGATCCCTAGTAGATGAAATCAAAAGCCACGACAAAATCGATGGACATACACGACAAAGGGAACGACGATTTGACGATTCGACAAAAGGAGTTTGTAGGTGGCTGGCTGTAGTGGCTTCGTGAGGAAGGGTGAGCAAACGATGGATTCAGTGGCTTTCGAGTTCCGATTTCTGTGGGTTATGTGGGTTCAATGCCTTCTGAGAGGAGGAGAAGAGATTGGGATGAATGTGTGTGACGGCGGATTGAGAGATAAAATGTAAATTAGGGCAACCGGGGTATTATTTTTTCCTTTATTTGTGTTTGTTTTAGAGTAAAAATTACATTCTCTATTGTGATTGGTTGAAATCATTTCTCATGGATTACCAATAACAATATCATAGCCATTCATCTTAGATCCAATGGTCCAATTTTAGTCTCCTTGTTTTTAAGATAAATGTCTTAAAAGTTAGGGGACCCACAAACATATACTCTTTATAAGATGGTATAGATTACCAATAACAACATCATAGCCATTCATCTTAGATCCAATGGTCCAATTTTAGTCTCCTTGTTTTTAAGATAAATGTCTTAAAAGTTAGAGGACCCATAACATATACTCTTTATAAGATGGTATATATATATATATATATATATAGATATATATATATATATTATATATATATATATGAAAAAAATGCATATATGCAAGTATATAGTCTCTTTACCTATATAGAGTAGAGTATGAATGCAAGATGATCATAATTTATGAAAAATTATATATGTCTTCAAACTCTTTTATCTCAAAATGTTATACTTGTAGAGTGCACGAATACTACATATTGTGACCACTGACAAATAATATATGGTACACATCTCCACGCACATTGTGGCTATTGAATTATTTATGGCCATAAACATTTGGAACAAAGAAAAATGAGTATCAAGATAAGCAAATTGATAAATTGTTTTTGCTATTATTAGATAATTCATAATCGATAATAGTTGGTTTATAAAAATAAAATTATAAAAAAAAAAAAAAAAAAAAAAAAAAAAACTCAATGTTCGTCATAAATAACATTGTACACTTCTAACAGGATTGATGATTAATAGCATACAGAAAATAAAAAATTGTCTAAATATGAATAAAACAGATAAATAATTACTCTTCTATATCATTTCTCGTTTTAATTTGTCATGTAGATGACAAGTATACATCAAATAAATTGTAACCTAAGATAACCGTTCACAATGATAATATTTGAAGTTTGTTTTTTAATCATATAAAAAAATTATCTAGATACGAACAAAAAAAATTACCTTCTTAAATCATTTTTCCCAAACTTTTATTCGTCAATAAATCATTTAAAATAACGAAAGAAACTATTTTAAGGGGTAGAAGGGACCCATAGCTTGCTTTAATTAAAGTCCAAGGGCATCTTGGTAATTTCACCTACTCAAATTTCGGTATATTACACGTAGCAACACTCTTGCATTTTCTGACTCCAGCTTTTCTCTCGGTTTCTCAGAATCTACATATGGAACCTTGCAATTTTTGAACACAAGAATCTCAAGTTTTTCATTCCAATTCAGATTTTATTCTTCTTCTTCTTCTTCTCCGCTAAACTGATTTTGCTTTAATTTATTTACACAACTCCGCTGTATTTTTTTTGTTAATGGTCCAGTTCATGTCGTCGGAAAACAACAATGTCTGGCAATTGCCGGAGCCGGAAGTGAAACCGTTTCTAATGGAAGAGCATTTGATGTACTCCACTGAGACTCCCGAACAGGACCCGTTTCCTAAACGGTGGAAAGCATCTTCTTCTGGAACGAGTACTCAGGTATATTTTTTTTTACTGTTAATACTTATATTTAATTTGGTGTTTATCTGTTTTATTAAAAGATTATCATGTTTTTGGGGGGAGTTTATGACGTGATTTTAATGGTTCAATAAAAAAGTTTCTTCTTGCAATCATGTCAACTACATTGTTTTCATTTGATATTTATTGAATTTTTGTTAACATAAATGGTCAAATTGGGAAGAGGGAAGGAATTTAAATGCAATGTAACATAAATTTTGTAATTTTTCTTGCTCCTATGAGTGTCTGTATCAACCAATTTTAAATTCATATCATAATTTTTTTTGAGGTATGCGAATGAAAAATCATGAAAGTAGTTCTATGAACAAATTATCTTTTGTTGTTTTTGTTTTTTGAGTTTTATAAGTATGTTTGCTTTTTATGACAAAACTGATAAGTTTGTTGATTCAAATGGGTGTTCTTTGGTGAACTATGAAAAGTGATAAGTTTGTTGATTCAAATGGGTGTTCTTTGGTAAACTATGAAAACACCAAAATCAAATTTACAATTTCTATATAGATTTTACAAGACTTCTAATTAAACTGAATTTGGTTTTCTATAATCATAAAAATGATGAATCATTAATATTTTTGAAATTTGGTTTTCACTAGTGATACATCCTCTTGAAATTGGTAAAAAACCAAAACCAAAAACGTTTGTTTTTGCAACAATATTGAAAGTTTATTGCTATTTCAAGCTTGATGTTGTTAAGAAGGTTGTAGACTTGAAATCGCGTACTATCCTTTGCTTGAGAAAGATTTATGATGATACACACAACTTTCATCTCGGCAAAAAAGCTACATTTTGATTTTTTTTTATGTAAATATACTACTTTCAAAATACAAAAATTGAAAAATATTTGTTGGGAAATTTAAACATGACATTATTGCATTATAATACTTGTTATGATCTTGTAGTTATCACACATGAGATGGACTTCAGGCTTCTTCCTATTAAAAATTGCAGTTACATAAGACTACCAAATTTAGTGATTCAATAAAGTCACCGCTTCATAGACGGTGGTGATTAGTTGTCACTTATCAAATGAAGTCGTGTAGAAAAAGACTACGTAGACTTATTATTCAATGCTATACGTCACAAGTCACCAAACCGCGTTGAAAATGGTTGGGTTTGTTGACGTTGTACTTTTAAGTATACACGGAAGAAACTACTAAAAGTAACGATTAAATGCATCATGACACTTGTAGAGCATTGCTTTTAATTATAAGCGGTGGCGAATGTCGTCATCTAAAACTAACTTGGTTCGATTTTATTTCTTTCTTCATTTTTATCTAATGCTTCACATGAACAATAAAGACATGTTTTAATTGTTCTTTTAAAATCAAATCATGTAAGGTTGAAGATCAAAATGGTATATGTTCCACATTGGTATTTCTTTTGTTTTAGAAGAAAGTCACATGTCTTAACATTACAAATGTAGTTTTTAAAGTTAAATTTGCATATTTTCCCAATGGTAAACATTACGAATGTACTTGCATATCTTTTTAGTCCTCACTATCAATTGAGTATTTTGTAAGTCTAGCGGCTATATTTGTTAATTTCCGTGTGGAGTAAATGTTGTCGTTTTTACGAAATTATGTGGATCACAAAAGACTAATCATGTAAGATATAGGTAGTTATAGGGATTTGAGTGATAAAATTGTTCTAAGGAAGTGAGTGTTACTATGGAATCGGAGATGGAATTAAATGGTTCATTTTATTGATATGAAAAAAGTTGTTTGTTTTGTTTAATGGAATGGAATGAACCACTATTAATGGAATGTGATTCCTTCCATTTTGTAAGATTTTATTCCTTAATTGGGAATTGCTTTTTTTTCATGAAAATTTGCAATATAACCATTTTTATTTATGTAATTTCTAATTAAACATTTTTTTTATATAAATTCACAATTTAATCAGATATTTTTTTCTAAATAACTAGAAACATTACATGACAATGGAAGAGTAATGATCCATTTCATTACCTTGTCCATTTCATTACTTCATCCATTCTATTAATTGTCATTCCATTCCATCCTACCAAACAGATAAGACAAGGCTATAAATGCGTGCTAGGAATTTCGCAATTGATATTGTTTAAAAGAGAAAGATAGTATGTCAAGATAATTCTAAGAGGTTGGGTAGTATTATTAGTAGTACTAATTGTGAATGATTAACCAATAATGTTGAGATAAATCTTTTGATCTTTCACAACTAAATACTATTATGAGAACTTCACCATAAAAACTATTCAATTAGTCATAAATGCTCAAAGATGTTTCTTATCTTTTAGAATCTATTGCAAGAAATACAACCCGCTTCCTAACATTTTTGTTTTATACATCGTATTTTCAAAACATACAATAAGGCATTACACTTTCGAAAAGACACCTTTTCCCTATTTTGACTAATTATATTGTGTCTTTTGACCATTTACGCAAATGCCTTGATTAGCAGTTGAGGTTTAATAGCAACGAAGTTCCAATACCACAATATCAGTACAACTCACTTGATGAACCAAGCCCGTTGGGCTTGCGGTTAAGGAAGAGTCCATCATTGTTGGAGCTAGCTCAAAAGAGGCTCAACCAAGTCAATATTGAGAAGGGCGATTCGTCCATGGAAAATCTTGAAGCAAGAACCAGGAGAGATTCAAGGGCTAGGTCAAAAGCCAAGGCCTCAAGTTCCCCTGATAAGTTGAAGGCTTCTCATTTTCCAGCATTACTTTTAAGGATCGGCCATTGGGAGGTATTTTGTATTTGATGATCACGAGAGTATTTATGTCTTTTTCATCAATAGTTAGTATGATAATCAATTTTCTTGTCAAAACTTTTTTTTTGGCAGTATGTGTCAAAACATGAAGGTGATCTAGTGGCCAAGTGTTACTTTTCAAAGCATAAGCTTGTGTGGGAAGTTCTTGATGGTGGACTAAAGAAAAAATTTGAAATTAATTGGGCGGATATCTTTGCTCTCAACGCAAACTATGAAGCCGATGGGCTTGGAACTTTGACTGTTGTGGTATTTTTTTTTCTTTTTTATAACTATTTTACCCTTTAAAATTTACTATCCTAGTCAATTTGTGCTCACTTTGTTTTTTTTTTTTTTTTTCAGCTTACTAAACCACCACTTTTCTTCAAAGAAATCAACCCGCAGCCTAGAAAACACACACAATGGCGAGCAACTTCAGATTTTACAAATGGTGAAGCGAACATAAATAGGTACATTATAACACTCTTTTAACAGTCTTGATTTAAAGAAAGTGTCATTGATTTTTTTTTTTTTAAAGTTGGTGAAAATCGCAACATACATTACTCATTTTATCAATATAGGCAATGTACTTCATTTTTTTTACCTTTTATTGTACTTACATTTCTCTACATAGTAGCAACATATTTACATCTTTTTACCAATAATAGCAACATTTTTATATTTTTTTACACATATAGCAACATACGTACAATTCGTTATCTATAATAGCAACATGCTTACATTTGTTTTACCATAACAATTTTGAAAGTAAAGCACATTGCCCACATCGATAATGAAATGTAAGTACCTTGCAATTATTGGTAAAAAAATATATCTCTCCACTTTCCTTTCTTTGTGTAGGCAACATTTTCTACAATGTGCACAAGGCGTACTTGACAAGCACTATGAAAAGTTGATTCAATGTGATGCACGACTCAACTTATTGAGTCAACAACCAGGCATAGTTTTAGACTTCCCATATTTCCCTCCAAGACCTTCCATTAATTATCAAGATATACCAGCCACTAACATCTTTAACTTCCCAGAAATCGATACTATTCCACATATGGCTTCATCTACAAATGTGGGATCGAGTTCTTTAGGTTTGATTCATCAAGATATGTCTAAAGAAGTTTACTCTTCCAGTTCAGGTACCATTTCTACCAAAAAAAAAATAGTAAAATACTTCGTTTATTTATTTCTTTATAACATCCTACTTCTATTTCTTCATATTATAACATTATACGTTGAAAAATTTACCCAATTATAGCATCATCATCCAAATACATGATGTAATAGAAAGTAACAATTGTTGTTTGTGGTGTTTTTTTAGGTATGTCTATGGATATTGATGGGCAAAATCCGAATGATATGTTTGAGAACATTTCACAGATGCTACTCAGCGACAACAATATAGCAGGAGATTCAGACGAGGAGACTCTCACATCAAGAATCAATTCCCTCTGCTGCTTTCTTCAAGATTATCAAAGTGGTCAACAAGATGGAAATGCCTTTTTTGCCCCTGATCCTAATCTAATCCCACAGCAAGACCTAAATGACTTTTCCACCTTTGATCCAAATCTAATCCCGCAACAATACGGAAATGACTATTCTACCTTTGATCCTAATATGTTCATGCAACAATTCGAAAATGACGATTCTACCCTTGATCCTAATCTGATCATGCAACAATACATAAATGACGGTTCTGTCCTTGATCCTGATCTAATCCTGCAGAAAGATATGAATGACGGTTCTACCTTTGATCCCAATCTGATCCCCATGCAAGGCCAATATGACGGTTCTACCCTTGGTGCCAACTGGATCCCTGAAACTATGACTCAAGAAGATGGTAGTGGTAGCATGTCTGCAAAGCTTCCTCAGGAGTATCCAAATGCTCAGCAAGATGGAAATGACGGTTCTACCCCTGAGAACAATTCTGGATCTAATGAAGGGTTGGGTATATCAAGAGCGGACTCGTTTTCTGAATTGGTGCAACAGCTTCCCAGGATCACGTCTCTTCCGAGGTTCTTGTTCGAGCTTTCAGAAAATGGTGAGATTTTGAAGTGAGGGATCTCGTGTTCTAAAGGGATTTGGAAGTGATCTTATCGAGCATTTGTGAAAAATCCCAAGGGTTTTTTTCGTAAAAATGAACGTGCTTTTATGTGGTCAGACTGGTTTGAGTTGTGGTGTTAATAGGTGAGTTATTTAAGGTAGGTCGTTATGGGAATAAAGTACTATAAGTTTAATATATTTTGTAGATATATATATGCAACTATATTAAAAGTTTTCGAAATCTAAAGATAGTTTTTTTTATTTATTTATCAGACTTTTGCATTTGAGTAGTGATGAATGCTTATAAGATATTGAATAACGAGAATCATATATTCCATGTGAATTGTTAGCATAAGTAATCGTTGTAAAAAATAATGATTATTATAAATTGATTAAAGGGAAATTAAATAATCTAACCACCTTTTTAATGTTTCTTTGAACAAAAAAAATAACAAAAATAACGATTTGGTCTGGAATGGACATTCCGGACTAAGAGAAAACAATTTTTTTGACTGATTCCGGAATGGGCATTCCGAATTCCAAACCAATATCCCGGATGCTAGACTAAAATTTCGAATTTCAAAAGAAAAAAAAACTCCTTAATTTCAATAACAAGTCCCAAATCCGAAGAACAATTCCGTATTTTTGAGAAAAAATCGTTTTTTGCTTAAATTTAACAAAAAGTTAAAAAAAAAAAAAAAAAAAAAACATGGTAAATGTGAACTATATACAATATATTGCATAAAATCAGACATATAAAAACAGTGATATTAAACACTTAAAAATGAGCATTTCGGAAATAAATGAGGATATTTTTTCAAAAAAAATCGGGAAAAAACCAAAAGTAATTCCGGAATTTGAAGATCAAACTCGGAATGGAGTATTCTTTGAAAAAAAATTAAAAAGTAGTCCGGAATGTGAATAGTAGTCCGGAATGAAGCATTTGCGAAAAAATTGTTATTTTTCAAAAACTGAAAAAAATAGTTATTTTCTTTAGAAAAACTCATTTACATAGATTAGATTCCTTAATTTCCCTTGATAAAATATACTAAATTAATAAAGTATAATTAATTTAAAGTTAATTCAATTGAAAATGGATATAGTAAATTACATATTTAAAAAAGTAAATAATATATAACCAAATGGCCACATAAAAACCGGAGGCTAGACCATTGGTCTAGTTTCGGTTCTTATGGTGCCTCCAAACTAGAGGTATACATTAGCCGGTTTTAATCGGCTTCTGTTTTTAGTAAACCCGGTTTTTTATTATCAGTTTCGGTTAAAACCATTTTTTCAGTTTTTTTTTGAAGTATGAATTTAAAAACTGGTTCGATTAAAACCCCGGTTTGGGCTATTTTACCCGCTTCTTAAAAAACGGTTGCGTTTGTGTACCTCTAACAAAAACCATACTTTTTAACCCAATTGTTATATTTGATTTATGTGCAAAATAGTAGTGAATGTGAAACATCCCAAAAATACAACCTAAAAATTTCGTTTTTAAAACATTATTAAACCATCATTTCATTACCAAAGTATAAAAATCATAAACTATGTGTTTCAAAATCTCATAATATCTATCACATGTCAAATCTCATGTCAAATATCATATCAAAATATCAGAGTAAAACTCCCAGGCTGAAGATTGTGGTGTGTGTCATGCGATCATCCCGAGCCCTTCCCTTTGCTAGTGGAAGTACCTGAAACCAGGACTGAAAACTGTAAGCACAAAGCTTAGTGAGCTCCCCCAAACTACCACATACCATACAATAACACATAAAGCACATACTGGCCTTGCCCACTGCATCAGGCCTCGCCCGACATCAGACCGAAGTCCGACATAATCTGGGCCCCGCCCATTGCATCGGACTGAAGTTCGGAATAACTTGGGCCTTGCCCACTGCATCCAACCGAAGTCCGGAATAACTTGGGCCTTGCCCACTGCATCGGACCGAAGTCCGGAATAACTGAACATAACATATACATAAACATCTAACATAAACATATAACTACTGCATCGAGCTTGCCCGACATCGGACCGAAGTCCGGAGCACAAAGCACATAACATAAACATGCATGAATCACTAAGACATCAGGCATACACACTACTTCTCGGGATCACCCCGGCATCAGACCGAAATCCGAAAGTACTATATCTAAACGGGCCGGCATTGTGGCCGTAGACCCGCTCCTAAAGGAGGAAACTCACCCCGAGTAACTGGCTGCTGAAACACTGAGCGGAAAATATCTGGCTGCTGCTCTGGCGACTCTCCGACTATAAATTCCACAATGACACTTAGTCAGAAACTGATAACTATCCTTAGGGTGAAATGACCATTTTACCCCTGGCTAAATTCCACATCATGGTAAAAGTCAACTTTCCAGTTGACCGGACTCGCCGAGTTGGCTCGACAACTCGTCGAGTCCCAATCTTCTCATCTACCCCCAACCCGACTCTACTCGTCGAGTTTAGCAAGAACTCGACGAGTTCTCCTTCAATCATAACATCGTGACAATCTTCATCTGACTCGCCGAGTTCCTCCTAAACTCGTCGAGTTTATCTTCGTCATAGGACGTGTCTAGTCTGTGACTCGCCGAGTTGTATGAACAACTCGTCGAGTCCGTCTTCATGAGTTGGGAGATGGCCTTGGACTCGCCGAGTACGTTCCTGCACTCGCCGAGTCCCATGGTTTCCAGATCCATGGCTACGTCCATTTCGTTGAGCCCCTTCCCTGGACTCATCTAAACCCCATCTAAACTCAATTGGGTTTCTCCTGAATCATAACAGTCTTAGCAATCAACCCACGACTCGTCGAGTCCCAAGAACGACTCGTCGAGTCCATGCATGTCCAAGTCTATAACTCGATTTCTGACGTGCAAAATGCATCCAGAAGGTAGATCTAGGCTCCTAAGATCGGTATGGCATGTAAAGTCATGAACTTTACGTTCATGCATGGGACTTTTATGCTCAAAGGACCAAAAATGGGGTTTACTTCATACTTGGGGTTCTCATGGCCATAAAGATGGCACCTTTATGCCATGAGGACCCTCCAAGGTTCCAGATCTGAGTGTAAATTGACTTGGGACGTCCAAGTCCCAAGGATCGAGCTTCTTGGACCCAAAACTTCATATAGATGACCACAAGGAGATCTAAGAAACTACAAGTCAAGTATGAGGCTTGATTACTAGAAAGTGAAGAGAAACTGATGTTGTTCTTGGATCTACAATCTTCTCTTGAAGTCCTCCTTCTTCCTCTTCTTCCCACAAGCTTCAAATACACCAAATAACTCTCAAAATCACCAAGAAAGCTCAAGTTCACTTATGGAGGATTAGGGTTTCGGGATTACTGATCTGGAGGTGATGGAGGCTAGAAAAGAGGCCTATAATGTTGCTTAAATAGGGTGCAAACCCTAGATATTAGTGTTTCCCCCAGACTGGCCTACTCGTCGAATCAAGGCGTGGACTCGTTGTAACGCCCGTAGATCCGGGCTAGTCAATTTAGAGACAATGAGCATCAAAAATGAGTTTTTGATGGAAGATTATTTAGAAGGAGTAATCTTAACCAAGTGGTAGTATATGTTCCAAGGGTTCCGTACATATAAAGAACGCCGAAATCCGAGTTATAACGAATAAGTTATAGCCCGTCGAAGTTTCGCGGCAAAACCGGCACGACACCGGGAGACGTAAATAGTGAATTTACGATAGAGCGACTTTTGGCCTTAGTGATCTAAACAAAAGTTGTAGTGTACGTTAAACCGAGAACATACAAAAAAAAGAACGCCCAAATCTGACTGCGTATGAGGAAGTTATGATACTAGGTTTTGTCAAAGGAAAATTGTTTTGGGATAACGAAGTGTTGTCCGAGTACCGAGTCACCACCTAATCAGGTGAGTGCATAGTTACTTTCATCTTACACATAGATATGAAGTATTTTTATATAAATTACGTGTTATGTGTTCATATAACCTGTATGTTTGCTATCTATGCTGGATGAACGATTTTATACATGTTTTAAATAATTTAAACTGTATATGTATTTTATATGTACGAATATGTTGGGTAAAACATGGGTAGATGAATGATGAGAGATGAAAGATGATATGAGTGAACATTGGCAGCTATAGACTTAGTGCCTAACAAATAACATCGGCAACTATGGACTTAGTGCCTATCGAATAAACATTGGTAGCTATGGACTTAGTACCTGCTAGATAAACGTTGGTAGCTATGGACTTAATATCTGTTAAATAAACGTTGGTAGCTATGGATTTAGTACCTATTAGTTGAACACTGGTAGCTATGGATTTAGTACCCGATGAATGAACTTTAGCAGCTATGGAATTAGTGCTTTACGAACAAGCATTGGCAGCTATGGACTTAGTGCCTATCATATAAACCCTGGAAGCAATGGGCTTCGAAATGAACGAATGCAGGATAGATGATTCTTAGGGTAGATCCTTAAGAGTAAGGAAGATAATGGGGATGGGTAATTGGGTTGATTGTTTTAATATTTAAACATAATAATTATATTATTGTGGGTTGAAAACCCTATGTACTCACCAGGTTTCCCAACCTGACCCACTCAAGCTTATTTGTATCACAGGTGTCGATATGAAGTTACATTACACTGAGAGATTAAAGAGATGTAGATCACTAGTGTAAATGAATGTAAGTTCTGTTTATGCTTATGTTTCTGTATTGACAATGACATCCCAAATGTTTTAAAATGAATAAAAACACATTTCTTCGGAAATGCTTTGATAACGTACTTATCATGTTTTACTGGGAACAAATTCCGTAACATTTTTATTAAAAGAGATACTCTAATTTTTATAAAGCATAAACAAAATCGGTCTTTTCTGGCCGTGAAAATAGGGGTGTTATAGTTGGTATCAGAGCATTAGTTTAAGCGAACTAGGAATATGGACTTATTTCTAGACTTAAACTTAGAATGCTATGCGATGATTGTGAGGAGTGTGTCTAATAAAATTTAGGTAATACACCTGAATAGACACAAG